AAAACCTTCGAGACACGGGAATTGGCGTCAGAAGCATGACATGGCAATTTATTTATGTCATGTTTGTCATGTTCATATTTAATCACCTTCCTATAGTCTTTTACGTATCGAACTGTTCAGAGTTCAGAGTTCAGAGTTCAGATCATATTCTGCACTAATCTCCTTCCCATGCAAACCTGCCACAGGCAGCCTTCATCTTTGTGGTCAATCACCCCACTATGCAAGGTCATTTTTTCGTAGTTGTTTCGCCTGAAAAGTCGAAAAAATATATGTGACAAATTAATTTATTAATTTCTGACTGAAATTCGAACAATTGTATCGCGGACTACGTTCTACGTTGTTGTATAATATAATGCCTTGATAACTTTCCTAGCCTGAATCATGCATGTTTAACCGAATATTTCTTTCAGATTTATGTCGTAAAACGTTTGACTTAAGCATAACTGTGTTAATCGACAGGAACATATTCGAATATGTAAATGAGACTATGCAAAGTTGTTTTGTGCAGTGGTAACCCGTATCGAACTGCTCGAAGTTCGGTTCTGTAGAAACAAAAACACCCCGGAGTGAGTGAGGTACATGCAGATTAAACTATCACCATGCGACGAGAGTAGATGGGTGTCGACAATCCCAGGGGAAGGACCGAATAGAGACGTTAAAATAACGATTACATCCAGAACAATGGAAAATAGTGGAACCCATCAATACAATGAACGGGCCACTGTAAGATGACGTCAGATGAACAATAAAACGGCTGTCGAAGTTCCAATTCAAGGTTTATAAACATCTATAGTGTGTATATTGATGTAGTAATTCGTAATGTTGTCTCAAAAGTGAAACTGTGATGTGAACTGGAGGCGTTACAATTATCACAGACAAATACTCAAATAATAAGGTACGTTATATTCATCACGGTCTTCCCGTCTGGATTTCCACAAACCGACAAATATTGTTTAAAGAGTAAGTAAGACTCGTGTGACTTGCATGACGCGCAGAGTAAGCAGAATTTACTGATCAGTGAGCATGGTTTTCCGACATCTGTGTTCCATCTGCCGTTGATATGTAGTTCAAAGTTGGTCGTTTACTTGATTGTTTTGTGTAAAATATAAACATTTACGACCAGATTGTGCGATATCTGTAATGTAATTAAAAAAAAATATCATTTCTGCTTGAAAACATTTCAGGCATTTCAGTTTTTAAAAGGCATGGGCGATACAGTGCTAGTATGTCCGTGATCAGTCAGCTGGTCTGTCACCACGTTTGTTATCGGACAGCTCGCCTGGTGCTACGTCCGTGATCAGACAGCTGCTCTGTCACCATGTTTGTTATCGGACAGCTCGCCTGGTTCTACGTCCGTGATCGAACAGCTGGTCTGTCAGGCACCACGTTTGTTATCGGACAGCTCGCCTGGACAACTCGCCTGGTGCTACGTTCGTGAACGAACAGCTGGTCTGTCACCACGTTTGTTATCGGACAGCTCGCCTGGTGCTACGTTCGTGAACGAACAGCTGGTCTGTCACCACGTTTGTTATCGGACAGTCCGCCTGGTGCTACGTTCTTGATCGGACAGCTGGTCTGTCACCACGTTTGTTTTCGGACAGTCCGCCTGGTGCTACGTTCTTGGTCGCACAGCTGGTCTGTCACCACGTTTGATGTCGGACAGCTCGCCTGGTGCTACGTCCGTGATCGGACAGCTGGTCTGTCACCACGTTTGTTATCGGACAGCTCGCTTGGTGCTACGTCCGTGATCGGACAGCTTGTCTGTCACCACGTTTGTTTTCGGACAGCCCGCCTGGTGCTACGACCGTGATCGGACAGCTGCTCTGTCACCACGTTTGTTATCGGACAGCTCGCCTGGTGCTACGTCCGTGATCGGA